ATAATCTAAATCAGCGACAAGTATAGTTTTGGGATGCGCGTTCAAGTCGCTTGAAAAGCTATAATTTTGGACAAAAAATAGTGAATTTGTCTAGGACTTTGCCCCTCAAAGAGGCACCGCACGTTTTTAAACCTGAATATCTCCAAAACGGTTGAAAATAGCTGAGTAGCCGTAAGGAACTTTTCGATAGAGCGATTCAAATACTTGCGTTTTGCAAACCAGTCTTAATCCAAATTCCTAACCTTTAAAAAATTTAAGATAAAAAGGCGATACTTACTTCATCGTCCCACTTTAAAATCGCCTATATCAGAAAGGTCTAAAAATATCCATTCGGTCCTAATGACCTTTTAGATGGAGAATATCGACGGCTACATTTCGTCAATTAGGTTTCACTGGTAAATCCTAACCTCTAAAAAGCTAGAAGCAAAAGCGTGAAAGTTTGGGGGTTTTTGCCCAATTTCTCGTTACTTTCTACGCATTTTGGCCGGTGATCAAGTCATATCAGTCCAGACAAGTGTATATAACACAACAATGGGCTTTTTTACAAATACAAACACGGCAAATTTTTGAAATAACTGAACGCAAGCGCTCTATAAAACATCCAACTAAGAGCAAGCGTCTACTTGGGGGTTTCTGCAAGCAGCATTCCATTGTTCTATTTCTGTCCCCAAAGGGAACATCGTGGAAAACTCACCGGAAAATAGGCATGTGCCAAAGTGCCTCCAGGCCCATCAAACGGATCGCCATCTCCATGTTCCCCAGTCTCAAATCGGATCTCAATGTGAACCTGGCCGCTCTTAGGAGTGAAGCTGAGATCCGTGTATCCAGACCAGACATTGAAGGCTCTTTGCACTTCCGCATCCACTTCTTTGCGCTTCAGCTTTGGCGGGTATTTGGAGATTTTGTAGCTCAGGTTCTTCACCTTCCATCTGCTGCCTAATAAACAATGTGTAGCGTTAACAAAGCTTGACGACTTCAACAGTCGGATCACGTCGCTCTGAAGAATTGCATCGTCTGCCAGAACAGGGCAAAGCCTTTGGTTGCTGTTAGTCACTCGCATGTGACATATGTTTGAAGAATCAACCGAAATTCTTCAGTGACTTAAATGAGGAGAAGAACGACTTAATTCCATGAAGAATTATTCAATGCTTGTTGATGATTTCAGTTAGTCGAGGTTATCAGGCGACTATTGTTTAAGCGCATATTAAACCGTCGGGATGTAAATCCGCAATTATCGATGGATTAATTTTTTATTGTCGTCGTAAAAGCAAAATAATTGAACTCTGAGCTCTACCTTGTAAAGCGTATCGCTTCGCTCTGTTGTCGCCAGTGCCAACTTTGTCTTTGACTCCACATCGGGGCAGTTGCATAGTTTCCATAGTCTGGTCGTCCAGTTCGCCTACAAATTCACAGCCTGTTAGTTTTGCGCAATTTTTATCGAAATTTATTGAATTATTCAGGCATGCACCAGCATCACACACATAGTTGTGCAATGGGCAATAATTGATGCTGGTGGCAACCTTAACCCATTGTACAAGGTGATTCAACATTATTTCCCGCAGGTTGCGGCTGAGAAAAATCATGCTGGAGGTGACCAAAATATAGCTGAAAACCTACCGGTAACAGTGAGGCCTGCAAAGCTTTGGAAATCCTCAACTGCTTTCCTGAAGCTGCTTTCGTCCAAAAGTTGACTGGAATTGGCTTTGACTGGTCCCAAGTATCCGTATTGGGACAGGTAGAGCTAGAAGAAAAACTCTAGTTAGCAGACAGATAAAAAAGTATATATCCAAAGCCCCTTGAACAACAACAGGCAGGTCTATTTACAAATCAGCGCTATCTAGAATAAATATTCACATTTCAAAGAGCTGAAATCCCAGAAAGCCCAGTTACACCTCGTCTGATAGTAGGTGTTTATCAGTGAAATGTTGCAATGTTGGATATTGTTTAACAGATAACACAACCTTGGCAGAGTTTTTCGGTAATTTGGGTGAAAATGGAATTTCTAGTACACAAGGACTGGTTCTAGTTGTAGTAGGAAAAGTTGAGTAGTTTAAGCTCGACCATACTCAAGCTTCAGATGCACAATTTAAATTTGATTTTTTGTGCATGTTTAAAGAGAGCATGATTGGGACAAGTTTGCCTGAAAATTGCAGAAAAATTTCCAGAAGTTCAACAGATGCTTACAATTTATAGTCCTTTTTGAGAGTTTCCAATTTTTAAATTTAGTGGCGCTTGATTGAGACATGCTTGTTTTTAAATTACCGAAAGTTTGGACAAATTTAACTGATGCTTGGAATTTACTCAAATTGTCCACGTTCAGCAGGTCAGACTTGCTCCATAAGTGTACAACATTTCAGGGCAATCCGTATTTTAGTTTCGGATTTGTACATAAAATGCAGATAGTTTAAATATTTTTGGAAGTTCAACAGATTCTTTAAATTTATTTAAATTCTATCTGTTTCTCAACTGAAAGTAGTGCATGTTTGGGATAATTTTGTATTTTTTTTACATAAAACTAAACATTTTTAGAAGTTTTACAGGTTTTTAAAATATCTCAGAATGTTGTGCGTCTCATCAACGAGGTTTTATAGAATCCACCAAAATTACACCTCCGGTGCGGTTTTAGTAAACCAGTTCTGATTTTTTTAAGACGTACAATTGAGATATTTTTGTTTCTATGTTTCAGAGAGTTTCAAAATTTCCAGAAATTCCACCGATGCTTGCAATTTATTGACACTTTGTAAGTTTGTCTTATGGAATTATTTATTATTCTCGTTTTGTGAGTGTTAAAATTCCGAATTTTTCAAAGAAAATGTTGTATGTCTCACTTCTTTCAATAAATGTAACTGAAAAATTATAAAAATTGAACAAAAGCTTGAAAACTCTTCAAAATTTGACTGCTTTTCAGATCAACGTTCTTCTGTAAAAGAATAAAGTTGCAACTCCGTATCTGTTAAAGTTTGTGAGTTGTGAATTTCTAGAAATAGTCGGCTATGATTATGGAACATTTTGAAATAGCGGAATATTTTTCTTTTTTCAACGACAAAAAAGTTTATAGGCGTTTAACGAGTAGTCGGTTCGAAAATTGACCATCTTCTATGTAGATGCAAAATTTCAAATCCAGATCTTTTAAAGTATGTGGGTTGTGCGATTTTACAGTACACGATTTTACTGATACAGTGGTGCATCAGAAGAACAGGTTTTTATATAACAGACAATTTGAAAATTTCTAAAATCTCAGTCAGTGCTGAAAATTTAACGAAAATTTGCCGATTTATCACACAGCTCTTCTTCTATATATGTACAAAATATGCCGTTCGCACCTGTTAAAGTTTGCGAGCTCTATTTTTTCGGGACCGTGCTGAATCATTGATACCAGTTTCCGAACAGCTGACTTTTGGAAAAATTCTAGAAACCCACTGGGTAGATGTGGTTTAATGAAATTTTGTACAATTGGCAACTGAGTCTTCTGCTATAAGTTTTCAAAAATTCAACCGTGACACTGTTGAAGGTAGTTAGTTATCAATTTTTTAACAGCTGTTTGTGATTATAGCAAGTCTTTAAACAACAGTCACTTTGGAAATTTCTAGAAACTCAATCAGTGCGAGACATTTAACCAAACTTTGCAGATTTTTCAAACAGGTCTTCTTCTATACATGTACAAAATATTCCGTTCGCATCTGTGAAAGTTTGCGAGGTGTAATTTTTCGGAACCGTGCTGAATCATTGATACAAGTTTTCAAACAGCAGACTTTTGGAAAAATTCTAGAAACCCACTGGGTAGCTGTGGTTTAATGAAATTTTGTACAATTAGCAACTGAGTCTTCTGCTATAAGTTTGTAAAAAATCAACCGTGACACTGTTGTGATTAGTTAGTTGTCAATTTTTTAACAGCCGTTTGTGATTATAGCACGTCTTTAAACAACAGTCACTTTAAAAAGTTCTAGAAAATCAGCAGGTGCTCAGATTTTAATGACACTCTGAGCCTTTTTCATATGAGTCTACTCCTATACATATAAAAAATCTCAGTCCTCCACCTCATACAGTTTTCGAGCTGTGAATTTACATTAACAGTGGTGCATGTTAACGACACATAAGTTTAAAAATTGCACAAAACCAAAATCAGCGTTTTTATTTATAAAAAAGTTTCATAAAGTTATCAAGTAAATCCCATCACATAAATATGGAAAGTTTATGCCCTGCATCTATTTAAATTGACGAGTAGTGATTTTTTCCATCAGCAACCAATTCCAAATAGATGCATCGACAAAGTATTAATTATACCAGAGGAAGTGGCGTCCTTCAACCACAACCATACCACAATATTAATTTGCCGATTTGCTCGTTCTAAACATTGAAACCAATTCAAATGGCCTAGAGCTAGAATGGTCACTAAATCACACAAAAACAACCTCCAACAGCTTCCTGGATTCTTCAAGACACTCTGGCTGATCTATTTCTGATCGTCTGCGCAAAATTTCCTGTCTCTTCTTCGGACTGTTTGCAAAATTCCTCTGTAGCATTAATCGATGATAATCGATGATCAAATTAATATTCCGGCTGCATCTTTTTAATGGCCATACATCAAATGCATTGAAAGCGCTAATGAAAGGCGATTCAATCATTGGTCGATTCCTTTGTTCGAAAATCATGTTTCACACAGTTTCAAATCAATGCATATCGGTGTGTTGGTTTGCATTTCAACTACTTCCGAAATGAATCACAGTTCTGCCAGTTTACCCACCATTCTTTGGCTCAGTTCTACCATTTTTTAATGGAAACGTTCTGGAAGGTTCCACTAACCAACGAACTGCCGATCTAGTTGCAGTTTTCGGATATGGAATGTAAATTTTGCTACTTAATCAAGCATAAGTTGCTGACGCAACATACTCTTGACCCTCCGGTTGATCAAGGTGCGCCTTTCTCCAAGATGGAATGATTCAGTCAATGAATGAAACAAGAAAAAACGTAAAATGCCGCCTACTTAACATTTCCCATATTCGGCAGAAATTTCTCAGAACCAGTGAGTAATTTTCTCGGGTTCACCTGCTTGACTCACTCTTGGGTTAAGCGACTTTGCTTTAGTCCGTGGGCATAAGGAAAAGCCACTGATTAGACCAATTTCACTGGGGAAAATGTGCAACTAACATTGATGTGATTGAATCTGAACCACTTCAACTGCCCCCTGTTCGCTTCCTCCATCAACGAGTCACAAAAGCACATTGATATCACAAAAACAAATCTACCAAACTACGAATTTTCATTATTATCAACTAAATCCAGTGAATATATTTGCATATGTACAGAATTGCAGGTGCGTTGAATAGTTTGGTTGAAACATACCGCTCCTAAGAAATCATCGTACTCGTCCTCATAAGACTCTACGGAACCTTCATTATAACCCTGGGGGGAGTCGGACTAAATACGAAAAAAAACATTAAAATCTCGTCAAACTGCTACAGTTTAATGCGGTGGGATGGAATGTATTTACATATGTGCATTACTGGTGCCTAAAAGAGAAAAAATTCGGCAACGTACCCGCTTTAGAAAATCTTTGTACTCGTTCTCATAGAACTTTCGGGACTAAACAAAAAAAAACTTATTAGACAATTGAAGGGCGAAATTGTACAGTGAGTTTCCTTATTTATTGAATTAGCTCACAGGAAATTCAGAAGATTCCAGCAAGTTAACTGGGGCTCGAAATTTATGGAAAGTTTGTGCGTTTCTAGAAGAAGTCTTGATCTAGAAATGTGCCAAATCTGCAGGGTTTCACTTTCAAGGTTTAAAAGTTAGGCATTTTTTGAGACAGTGGTGCATAGTTGGGGCACGTTTTCAGATTTTGAATAATTAATAATTTTTGGAAATTCAATTAGCGCACACAACTACTTGAAAATTTGTTCAAGTTTCTATCTCTAAGGTTTTAAGCGCCCTGCAGCTTCAGAGGCAGTGGGTGCATGATTAGGATAAAATCTCAAATTTTGAGAACAAAAATCTATTGAAAATTAATCAGAACTACCAAGGAATTGAAACGTTGCAGATGACTTAACGAAGTCCTCCTCTATAAGGGTGCAAATTGTCAGGATTGTATCTGCTAAAGTTTGAAAGTTGTGCATTTTTGAAAACAGCGCTGCAGATTGAGACATATTTCGAAATAACCCAGCTTTTCACTATTTTTTGGACATTGATTAAAATTTGAAATTGAATGAATTTTTGCACACTTCTCCACGAAATCGTCCTCCATAAATGCGAAAAATTTCAGCCCTTAAACTGGTTTAGTTTGTGAGTGATTGGACATTTTTCAAGACCGTTTAAACTGCAATAAATAAGGAAAGCTCTGTACAAATGGAAGTAAAACTGTACATTACTGCAGTATTTACCCCGTCCAACTAAACCTTGACCCCTAGTCACTTAATCGGTAAAAAAGTACGCATTTGTGTATATTACAGTCAATAGGTGCAAATCAGCCCTTAGATCAGAACAATTCTACTCAAACCTACCGTTCCTAGCAGGTCATTGTACTCATCGTCATAGAACTTCCACTAAATGAGGAAAAAAAAACAAAAAATAAGATTAACGGGAAAAATCATCCAATTCTGCGGAACCCAATGAATTTCATTCATTTGGGCAACATGTTGATGTTTTTGCGGTTAATTAAGCGTTATATTGGTGCCAGATCTTTAGCATATGTTGTTGCTATTGGCCCCAAAACAACCATAAACCCATGAATCATCCGATTCTTGATATAATTTTTAATCATAGGTGAAGAGGTTACTGGCGACATCTTGAGTGAAATATAAGCTCAGTCACGCTTAGGGTGACCAATCGCAACCAAACAAGCCTGGAAATCTGCTGATTTAATTTTCAATCATCGACGAGGCAAATTCATATTTTGAGAATTTGATTAAAATTGCAGATTTGTCAGCAGAAGCACTTTGCATAAATAGCAGATGAGTATGCAAGGCTTGAATACTGGCCGGCTTGACTTGCGATTGTTTCCGAGGTTTTCATTCAATTTTTTAGTAAAAGGAATGAATGAGGCACAGAAGAGGAATAATTAAATGCTTAGATTTGAATGTTGATTGATTAATTGATTTTTTTTTGACGAAGTTTGCGCGAGTTGGAAATTTCTAAACATTCACAACACATTCGAAGTTGCAGATAGTTTAGAAAATTTTCGAACTTTCACAGGTTCACAAAATTTTAGTATTGCATCTAATATTTTCCGTGTTATTAAGCTTCATAAATAGTGGTGCTTGATCAGGACACGTTTTTATATATTAAAAAGTTTGAACCATTCTGCAGTTAATTGGACCCTGGAA